TTATACTTAAAGATAGCTGACCCCAGATATAAATTTTATACTGATTTCATATTAAAATTTTTTCTCTTCAAAAACACAGCAATAAATGCCTTACCTATATAGAATAAAATTTTGTAATTTAAATGCAAAATAAACTCCAAATCATACATATTTTCTAAAGAAAGAGTAAGTACAGAAATATCAAATTATTTCAACCACAGCTAACTGATGGAAAATTGGTATGAGATTCTAGGTCTGTGGTGCTTTTTCATTCAACCATTTTCATACTAACCCAATGGCCCTTTCTAAATTGTTCTTGTTGAAATAAGTTCCTAAATGAAGTTTTTATTTATTTATTTTTATTTTATGTGTATGAGTGTTTTGCCTGCATGCATGTAAGTGCATCAAATGTGTGCAGTGCTCATAGAGGCCAGAAGAGGATGTTGGATCCAATGGAACTAGAGTTACAGATGGTTGTTAGTTGCCATGTGGATGCTGGAATCTAAATCTAGGACTTCTTTAGGAGTAACCAGTGCTCTTAACTACTGAGTCTTGTCATTCCCATACTCGCACAGCAAAAAATTTTAAAAACTTAAAAAAAAACACACACACACAAAAAAAAAACAAAACAGACTAATTTACCTAGATAAATTATACCATAATGATTCTTATATTTAAAAAGAAGAAATTAATATGGAGAATGACTGAAGAAAAAGACAGATATAGAATCTGCTTGACTATTCAATGAGAAAAAAGAAAGACACAAACCTAAAAGATGAGTTTCAAATGCTGAATGAAATTAAAAAGAAAAGTGTAGATTTGGATTTTTAATAGGAAGTTTATTATAAAAACCTTGGATTGGTTATGCTATTAAGAGTAACATGATCAAGATGGGCGTGGTGGCACATACCTTTAATCCCAGCACTTGGGAGGCAGAGGCAGGTGGATCTCTGTGAGTTTGAGGCCAACCTGGTCTAACGTATTGAGTTCCAGGCCAGCTAGGGCTATAGGGAGACCCTGTCTCAAAAAGACCAAAAAAAAAAAAAAAAAAGAAAGAATAACATGATCTAGACTGATTGTCTTGATGAAACCCTGAATTCAATCCTTACCCCTGATAAACTAGGTAGGCATGGTGGCACAAGCATGTAATCTTAGTACTTATAAGGTGGAGGCTGGAGAATCATCCTCAACTACATAGAGTTCAAGGTCATCCTTAGTTACATAGAAAGTTCAAGGCTAGCTTGGGTTATAGCTGTATCAGTTACTTTTCTGTTGCTGGGATAGAATACCATGACCAAAAGAAATAAGGAAAACTTTATTTTGGCTTACAATTTCAGAGGGTAGATGCCCATGATGGCAGAGGCAAGGAGCTCAGATATCACAGCTGAAGCAGAGATCAAGAACTGGAATTAGAGCTAGGAAGATGGCTCAGTGGATCAGAAGGTGTTTGTAGCTTTAAATAGGAGGGGGAGATAACACAAAAGCTTTTTATAAAAGTTTAGCAGGGTAGTATTACTAGGTACCATTTCAAAGTCTTGAGGCATGTGACATGAAAATATAGAGCTAAAGCTAAGTATTACAGCTTTTAATATTGAGGGAAGATTTAGTTGAAGATCAAAATTATTTTTGACCTATTTTTAATGATAAAATTGAGACAGCAGGTATGATGGTGCAGCCTAAGGAAGGAAGGTTATGAGCTTGAAGCCAACCTGGTTGGACAAAACAATTTTTTTCCAGATAAAATCTTCAAACATGCTGGGCGTGGTGGTGCACGCCTGTAGTCCCAGCACTCGGGAGGCAGAGGCAGGCAGATCTCTGTGAGTTCAAGGCCAGCCTGGTCTACATAGTGAGTTCTAGGACAGCTGGGGCTACAGGGAGACCCTGTCTCAAAAAGACCAAAAAAAAAAACCTGCAAACAGGAAGATGACAGTGTGGGATTTTTTTCCTGGTAGATAGACACTTTAAAAACATATATTTAGAAACCAGTATTTTGAGAAGAATTTAAAATAGCATAGCTGAATGCTATTAAAAAGCAATATCACACCAAGTAATTTTGGTATACAGAAATAATTATACTCAATAGGTGGCTCAAAGCCCTTAACTCTAATCACAATGTAATTTGTTAAAAAGTAGAACCCTCCAGTGTTTCTTCACACTTAGAGCTAAATCACTATTAAAACCCAAAGCTGACTCAATAATAATACAGATGTCTACACAAGAATTAAAAAGAATGTAATAATTTTTAGTTCGCTCTATCAATATTTTCAAAATAATAAATGACTGTTTAACTTAGAAGAAATTCAGGCTTTCTAAATGTTTTATTTCATAAAATTAATAAGAGCAATTAAATAACAATATTCTTGATATAGTAACTTGTTTCAATTTTTTATGTTGTGATTGCTTTTATGCAGTAATTTTTTATATACATGCATTACAGATGATGCCAGCTGATAGAGAATCTTTTGAAACTGAAACTTTTTTAAGTTTTAGAGTTAAAAGTAGCTGGTACCTTTTTAGTGTGGAAATGGGGAGGGAGGTTATTTTTTAAAACAGATGTCCTATTTGTCCTAGAAGAGGTTCCCTGGGAAGAACCCTCTAGGTATGCAGATTTTAAATCTTAGAGAGGATTTAAATTAAGGCAACCCACAAGGGAAATGTCAGAATGAAAGTCTATGTTCTATTATTTAAAGGGAGCATAAATTTTAGCAGAACTATGGCCTTGTGTTTTTTTAAAGATTAAATTACAATTTTTTTCCGATTGAGAGTTTTTGATGGTATATATGAAAATTACTAGTCTTAGAACTCTGTGTGTGTGTGTGTGTGTGTGTGTGTGTGTGTGTGTGCTCCACAATCACAGGAATCTGGAAGTATGTGGTAGCCACAGAAGTACATTCAGGCCCCATCTCTTTTCTCAAGACTAAAGAGGCCACACTTCAAGAAATCTATCATACTTTACTGCTGGTTAGCTCAGCTGTGTGGCAGGGGCATACTTTCTCCTGAAGAGAACCACAGTTAAATAGTTAAAGAGGTAAAGCATTATGGAGGGTTAGCCTAAAGGGAGGAATAAATCACTTATCTCAGTTTCTCTCTCTCTCAAGAAACAAAACAAAACAAAACATTGCACAGGATCTCAAATAGTCCTACAGTCCAAAGAATGGCTTTAAAAAGCCATGATAAGCTGTCGCAAAAACCAAAATAGGGAGAAGCCTCCGGCAAGGCCATTTGTAAGCCTAGATGTTAGGAAAAATGTCTTAAGAAATGCCATTTCTCACAGCAGCTGAATGTTAGGGTCTTAACATGGCACTCATTTTCAGGTTTCTAAGAAATCTTTATTAGAAGTTTTCAGCCTTGCGGGAAGCTCAGCAGTTAAGAGTATTTGCTACTCCTTCAGAGAAAACAGGTCAGTTCCCAGGACCCACATCAGGTGACTCACAAACACCGGTAACTTGAATTTTAGGGGAATCAAGACCCTCATTTGGCCTCCTCAGGCATAAGGTACATACATGGTGCCATATATATGTATATATACACACATATATATGTATATATGTATATATACATGCAGACAAAAAAAACCTCATAAACATGAAATAAAAATAATGTGGGCTGGAGAAATGGTGCACTTACCTACATGGGTCAAAACACTCATACACAAATAATAAAATAAATAAAAAAATTTAAAAATAAATCTTTTGGGAGTCTCTTGGATTACCCCAGCACTGTTTCTTGTTATGTAGCCTTTAGCTAGACACATGGACTCACGTAGAGATAATGCATGTGTAATTTGTCATTAGGCTGTTGGACTAATATGATTCCCTCCTCTTTTTTAAAAAAATTAGCTAGGCATTATTTATCTCTCCTCTCTCTCTCACTGTCTAACCCTTCTGCCATGGTTTCCCCATTTAAAGTTTCCCATTTTACCCATTTCTCCCTTGATAATACCTTGATGGCCTCCCAGAACTTGAACGTAAGACCCTACTGCTGAAGACAGAATGTACTTTGGACATAGGATTTGGAGCAATAGAGCTGCAGCTGACTTGAAACCACTTCCCCTGAAGCCTAGCTCTCATAGCTTTGGAAAGCCCTATGAAGGTGCCAAGGGAAAACATCAATCAATGGTCCAATATCAGCTTCAAGACCAAATAACCACATAATGGCCAGCACAGCTTATGACATTGGTGCAGCAGTAGCACTTCTATTGTGGGGGGCAATCAACAGTTACCTAATTGGACTAAAAGCCCACTCAATGGGAGGAAACTCAAGTCACATCCCTTGACTGATGTGATTTCTGACTATGTACAAAATATATATCCTTATATTTAAAGACAAATATCACAGTCAGCACTCATCAAAGAAGCTCATTTTGCACCAGAGACTATTACCAAGTACTATAACTGGTCACACACAGACATCGTTTATGAATTGCCTAGGCCTAAAGGGACACATCTACAATGCAACATCTACACCTAAGGCTCATGGAACATAGAACAGTGGTAAAGATGAGGACACTGATAGATCTCTCAGTTCTCATTAATGAAGCTCCCTCATGCAGCAGAGGGCAAGGAATACAAAAGGTCACAAATGGCCAAAGCATAGAGATTAAGAGCCTGCTGAATGTCAGTCCTTGGACAGGACTCCTATATTAAACTTCACCCACCCAAGGCTCAGGGACCATTGTGGAAGAAGGGGTGGAAAGATTGTAAGAGCCAGGGAGGAAGTGAATGACCATATCGAAACAGAGTCCTACAAGCTCCTGGGAACCTGCTCATATGATTCTATGGCAATAGTGTCAGTATACACTAGTCCCATGCAAAATCAGGCAG